TTGCCGGTGGTATTTATTTGGTTACCGGGTTGTGTCTGTCAGACACCAAACATGAACATTTGAAGACAGATCAAGACTTGTCTATACTCTCGACACCTGAGACTCACGTTGTCGATTGACACGACTACAACCAACCAAGTAACTTTACTGGGTGCCGAGGCGGATGTGAATCCCGACATGTTTGATTAGATGCTATGCTATTTGGTGCATAAGTGGTTGCTAGTGCTAGTATGTGACATGGTAACGCTTTCTAAAACATATTCTGTCACAATAAACCACTAGTAGACAAGTAACTGAACCTCACCACATAATTCAACTTGCTTTACTATCTCGTTTATAAATCTACAATTCTTATGATTTAATGATGTATACACGAGAACTATTAACTTGATCCCAGATTTCGACCGCTTACACTCCAGCCTTTTACTTCGAGTATTTCTATCCACCTTCTAAACTAAAGTAGGACTAACTTTGATCACGGTTTAACACATCCAGAATTAGCGTGACAACTACACACTTCAGTATTTCACGTCATTAATAGGTCTTCCACCTGTCAACCATCATACTCTAACGCCACCGACAACGACTTTAATCTAAAGAAGATTGTCGTTACAAACAGAGAACAGATTGTTACTGTCATCATGACACTCACATATACAGGAAAAACGTTTCTTACGACAAGTGATTTTCGTCCTGTAAATTACATTTTACATGGACGGTTATAAGTTCAGGTTTCCTTATTGTAAATTCGGGTTTTACCAAGAGTGATTGCTTTCGAGGCAACTCACAGATCTCCTGCGTATCAACTGTCCAAGAGACCAAGTACTAAAAACAAGTCCTTAAATTAGACTAGTGACCAGACCCTCTCTTCACGTGAAGAGAGACTCTGTCACTTGCATACCCGGGTAGGGTAAGGCGTGAGGTGATGTGATCGGAGCATACACTGCGTTAGCTTAGCCGATCTCCATTTAGAAAACACGCATTTTAAAAAGGTTTTTCGCCTGCCGTCTGTCTGCAGACTTGTCAAAGCATTAATTCATGGTTTTTACTAACGGGTATCAGTATGTTGTTACTTCGGCATCATTTTGAAACGTGTATTACAATTAAATCACGGTCAAATATGTTCATCTTGTTGTAGCTCCCTTGAAAGCGATTCTCTCTAGTTTAGCATACTCAACCCGACTCAGCCCGGTTGTTGGCTCGGAAAGAACCTCGATTTTATGGGGCCAGAAAAACTGTGAAATAGTACCCGCTAGCCGGAACTACGCTAAGTGGATACGCAACCAAAAACGCGCTGTAGTGGAAATGCGCCATTTGAAGAGCCGGCTCCTAAACGGCTCTTCATTAGGGCTGCAACAAACGACTAATTTGATAATCGATTAATCTATCGATTAATGAAACGATTAATCGATTATTCGGATCGTTAAGGTTTTTCGCCTGCCGTCTGTCTGCAGACTTGTCAAAGCATTAATTCATGGTTTTTACTAACCGGTATCAGTATGTTGTTCCTTCGGCATCATTTTGAAACGTGTATTACAATTAAATCACGGTCAAATATGTCCATTTTGTTGTAGTTGTAGCCCCCTTGCCAGCGATTCTCTCTCTAGTTTAGCATACTCAGCCCGACTTGGTTGTTGGCTCGGAAAGAACCTCGATTTTATTGGGCCAGAAAAACTGTTAAATAGTACCCGCTAGCCGGTACTACGCTAAGTGGAAACGCAACCAAAAACGGGCTGGGCACGGCACGCTGAAAGCGAGCTCCGCGCTATAGTGGAAATGCGCCATAAGACTGCATTGGGGATGAAATTGGTCAAAATCCTGCAGAGTGTAAGCCCACCCTACGCAAACAGATAAACTGTGAGAAGTTGAGAAATGAAGTATACAAAGTTGGAGGCTAAGCATACAGCAAATTACTAAAGAGGTTTTTGATATTCATTGCCATGTTAAAACATTCTTATCATAATGGCAAACTGAAGCAAAGACTGTGTTTGTAACAGAGCCATTTTGTTATTGTTATTTGATTGGATCACACTTAAAGAAAATGTGTGGTGGCCAGCAGGAAGGAAGGCTGGGAAATGGCAATGAGTCTAGACTGCATAACAGATGCATCCATATGGTTCTTTAACAAGGCACCAAGCAGTATGTCAAGTACATCTTTCCTATTGCAGCTATTTTCAGCAATCAGCATCACCAATTTCTAGTCAAATAAACTGCTCCCCAAACAATGACAAGAGTTACAAAGCTCAATAAAAATTACACATGTCATACATTCCTTAGATTCAAGCTTCTGGTTAATCCAATTCTAATTCTCAGCGAGAGAAAAAACACTCAATCTATGAAAGAGAACACAGAGCAGACAAAGTAAAACTGGACTTCGGCTGGTATCCAAAGTGAGGTCTAAATGCATACAGACTCAAACATATAAATCAAGTGCGACCACAACTAAACATACGTATAGTGTAAATGAATGCATAAGTCTAAATGTATATTTAGCATCACTGAGCATCAGTGTGAGCAGCAGCTCAGTCATATGAACCCCAATTTCTGTCTATACACACACACTCACAGGCAGACACACACACTCTCACAGGCAGACACAGTTTCCCTTATCCTTTCTCTCTAGTAAAGGACAGACAGAGGATGTGTCTATAATCGGGAAAGACTCACATTTCCTCTCTGAGGTTTCACATTCCTGGGATTCCGTCTGAAGACCACTGCAGCCCATTTAAAACCATTCTCCATATGGAGGAGGAAAAAAGAGACTAGGGCCGGCAGCAAAGGTTTTTAAGCTATGGGGGTTAATTTATCTATACAGTATTACTCTTTAAACATTCTAGGTAAAGGTACCAGTGTGGTTTAATGTAGCATAATGCAGAATTCATCAATCTCATAATGTTGTTTAACATACAAAAATATCATATAAAGATAGAACACCTGTTGTTATGCAATACGGTGGGAATTAAAAGTGAATAGCACTGTAGAGTCATACAATAATTATAGTGTGTCAGCTCCAAATACAGGTAATACAACAAATTAAAGTAAGACATTTTATGTTCTTCTTTTACTCAGCAGTTGCCCCATATGAACACCATCACATTTCAAATTTGATGTGGCTGGAAATCTGGTCCCTGCATAAATCCATCCAACAAAGTAAAACTCAAAATGCTTCAAATGCCATTTCCCTGCTGTAAGACCACGTCTCCAGCCTATGCCTTGTTACAAAATGCCTTATTGTATAGTGCCATATCTATTCTAGGTTTTTCCACAATCCATTTGTATGGAGCTCATTGAAAGTAATCATCTAAAGGCCATTGGGAATGGCACCAATGTGAGATAAGATGTCGGCTTTTCCTTAGGTAGTAGTTGTAATTTGTGATTCCACGTCTACTAAAACCCAAAGCTTCACAGTCCGACCACTACCTTTTGAAATGTTCATGTAACATGAGCACATAGTAAACAATACTAACGGATGGTTAACGTAAGATGTTTTCAATGAAGATATGCATAACTCACTGTTAGAACATCGATTACTCTAAGACACTATGTGAATAAATAAACATTAGCACCAATTTGGCTTAAGTATTTCATCTAAGCAAACCTATAAAAGAGCTATTAGTAAAGATGCCAAGTAACGGTAGCCAGCTATGTTAATGCAACATAAACAGCGATGTTGTCACAGCTAATGTTTGCTAACGAGCTAGGCTCATTGGCTGTCTTTGGATGCTGCCAGGTAGAATAACGTGAGTATATGTAAAATAAAAATAAAAGAATAAAATAAACGTTGGATCAAAAATTATTTGAACATTTTAAAAAACACACAGAAACGCGCCAGTATCCATCGGCACCATGAGCAGATGTTAGCCTCGTTAGCTAGCAGGCTAACATGCTAAGGTCTCCAAGCGGCGGGGCACAGGAGGGGGTTTAAATGTGCTTACCTGTCAACCGCAGCTTCACTGGGCCATTTCTCCTAACTCCTTGGCTAGACATTCCCCTTTGTGTTCCAGCTTGATGAAAAAAAAAAGCACAAAAAGCGTCTAGTTCATGTGTCAGCGTACGAGTTTCAAAAAGGTATCTCCCAAAACAATCCCTCTGCTAGCACGGGGTAGCTCGTATTATCACCATAGCAAATCTCTGTGTATGCAGCATAATGTATCATAACATCGGTGGAATTACAATATAATGTGAGTTCCTTTTCCGTAAAAAAAATGCAACTATCTAATATCAGCCGTTGAAGCGCAGAGCAAAGGGTGCTCATAAAAATCAAGAGGACAGTGTACCCTCCATCCAGACGGGCGTCCACTCTCTGCCCGGGCTGCTTTAACTGGAGCTGATCGTGATGGTGGTGAAGACTTCACACTGAGAGCACTTCCGGTACATTTCAAAATAAAAGCTTCATCAGATGTTCTTGATGTTCTTATTACAACCAATAACAAAGACATGTTCATAGTTACCAATATTAATATAACATTAAATGTATACACTTGCACTTTTTTCCGAAATAGATTGTCCATTTGTTACTTTCAGTAAATTAGCCAATGTGCATTGAGGAAGCTTTAGAAAAGGTGTAATTCCATACACCCACTAATAAAACATGTGATGCAAGTAAATTAAACCTGGTTGCCTTCGTTCAAATCTTACCAAAAGCATATTTTTGTATTTCATTTAACCTGATCTTGATAGTTTATGTAGTCAGACTTCCACTGCAATAATATCATATGGAGTATAGCTTTTCCCCCCTGACTACAGTATATGTAAACTCTGAGTATACAGACTGAGTTACTATTAAGTGTGAGTTTTATTGGTTAATAGCAGTCATTTCCAAAAGTGGGCATCCCATTTGAGGAGGGCTCATGTATCCATTTTAAAATATTATTGACAGCTACAAGAAGTCTTTTATTGAGATTTTAATTTTTTTCCCTTGTCATAAAGGCCATTTTACATTGTGTCAGATTCAACAAATCAGCACTTGATGCAATTTTTCCTGACAGTAGATTTTGTGAATTCAGATCTACAGTAGGGGAAATATATTTAGCCAAGTCTGATTTTGCTCTTTCCCTTTAATTAATATATGATATAAGCCATCATGGCCATACATTGCAAGACATCCAACTGTTGAATGACAGATTTCATTCACAAAATATTTTAATGTACTATAGAAACAGCCAGGCCCTTAGAACCACAAGTATAGAGAAAACCACAGTGTCACCTAGTGGTGAAATGCACACAGATCATTACCATCTATGCTTAAGAATTTCTTCTTAAAGCCTTACCTACTTCACATTATTTAACCAATTAATCTAGGCACATTTCCCTGTATCCGTGACATTCATCAAGAAAGAAAACATTTTGCATGAGCAACATTTATTTACAGATATTTTTTCAAAACGGGGATATTTTGTCTGTACTGTCACGTACAAGAATGAAATGTCTAAAAAAAAAAAAATACAAAAATATCAACAAGTTCTGAATTTCTTTTTTTTTTTATGTTACAAAGGGAGAGCTGGACTTTTAAAACTTGAAAGTGCTTTGGTCCTCAGGGATCTGGAAGGTATAGGAGTCTGCAGTAGCCTCAGGAACCACAGAATCATCCTCTTCATTCTGAAAGACAGGAGGGACCAGAGGAGAGCAGCGTTAGTTCTGAGCATCATTAAATGAATGAACATCGATTTGGTGGACTAGGACAATCTCTGTCAGCTACGAAAAAGTCTGTTGTGAATGGAGTAACATTAAAGACTAAACAGCAACACAATTTGTATTTAAAAAAAGGCATTTAGTCAGTGATTTCACTACAAAAGTATAAAACCCATTGAAATTAATAAAATATAATGACAAGTAACAAACTATCAATCTTTTATAATTCGTATGTGATTATGATCACATTAGCCGTGATTTCTCCGTGGCTAGTCAGTTTCTAGAAACGCTCACCTCTTCAGAGAAGTATTTGTCTATGATGTTGAGAGATGACTTGTACACAGCTTCGTTGTCATGGGTCTGCAGTGTCTCAATCTTGTCCAAACCACCCAACTCCTCGATCATTAGGCACAGTTTTTCAACCTCGCCAGCTTTGTATGCCATCTGGGGAGAAAGGGAAACATATCTGTAAGACTAATAGTTGCTAAGAAATGAAACTGTGGCCACTCTTTTTAATCTGTGACTATCAAGAGTCCAGCAGCTTCATTCTGAGATTAAAGTCAGCAAATCTTCATGTTTCCTAATCTCAGAAACCCACAGTGTTAAGTCTCCATTTCCTAGGGAACTAAGAGAAAATGTCTGTAAAAAGGGTTATTTAAAAAAGGCCAATTTCTCTTTGATCAGGGTATATGCAGGAATCCTGAAGTCAGATGTAATACCTTATAAGACCTTTTTTAAAGACCTTCTTCATACATTTTAAGACTTCATTGCCTTCATTTTCAGTACATTTATTTATCAACTTTTAAAGACCCCGCGGACATCCTGTTGATGGAATTTAAATCACTTAATTGTTTGCCGTTTAAGACGGTAGCCTGCCATCAGATCTTAATCCCTGGCTTCTGACATCTTTAAAGTTTACATTTTGATGCATTTATTTGCCAAAACTTTTGCACAACTAGTTCTCTTCCATTGCCGGAAAAAGATCTCTGCTTGTGTTTATGCCGTCTGATCTCATTTACTTCACATAAAGTATAACAGCTGCAAATCTCCAGATCATATTCTTCCTTTTTTTAAATCTTATATGATAAATGAATCTGAAGAAGTTAGATCCTAAATGATTCTTCCTTATAATTAAATGTTTAAGTTGAGATTCCAACAGTATGCTTTAGTGTTGTTCTGTGTCTGCAGAACGTTATTGCTACACAATGACGCTTTAATCTTTCCAAAAAGAATTGTCGATACTGAATAATGGGATAAATTACCTATCATTTTATCAAGTAGTAATTCTGCACATGTTGATTTTCATACACGATACACTGAGATTAATCGTTGTGGTTAAACTCTACTCGACATGTAGCAGTGTTAATTGCAGCATTTTGATTACACATAAAAAAAGAAACTTGCTGTACTCCGATGCAAAAATAGCAACATGGTCTTGAAAATATACCTGCAATATATTCTGAATTGCATCCAGGATGACCAAGAGTATTTTGCTGTCTTTGGCGGTCAGTAGGTTGAGCAGAGGCTCCAGGACATTGCATTGGACCAGGTAGGCCGCCTGCTCCATCGTCCCACCACTGGTATAGTTGGTGACTGCCCACACGGCCTCCTTCTGAGTCTTGTAGTCTCCCTAAAACAGAAATAACATGATATTTAAGGCCGGAGAAAAGCATAGACATTAATACAGATAGTAAAGAAACTAAATGACCATTCATGAATAAATGTGTTCCTCATTTGGTATATTGTAACACCCAGATCTATTTTCTGTGTGCTGCTCTGACCTGTTGCAGGATCTCCACCAGCATGGGCATCAGGCCTGCATTGATGACCTCCTGGATCTGAGTGTCCTTGCCTGCAGTGATATTGGACAGGGTCCAGGCAGCCTCTTTCTGGATATTGGGCTTGTTGTGGCGCAGCAGGCCTGGGAACATGGCCAGAGCACCTGCGTTCAGCACAAACTGAGTCTGCTCGTCTGTCCCGGTCACTATGTTGCCAAGTGACCGCAGGGCTGGAGTCTGAAGAAGAACAAGTCAATTATATTTAGTATTTACAATAAAAGGAATAATCTAGGGATGAGAAGAGGATAATGTGATTGATACCCAGACACCTGTGTGTGTTAAGGTTACAATTCGACAACTGCTGAATAAGATAACTTATGGTTTCAATGGTTCACAGCTTTCTACACACAAGGACTTGAACCTTTGCAAGTTATCAGTCCTACATTCAGCCAAAACATAGATGTCCCAATAGGCGCTTTCACACCGCAGTACTTTTCCCACAAAGGTTCATGAGAACTTAGTTCATCAGAACTCTTTAGTTCTGATTAACTAAGTACAGATCGCATTCACACCGGAATAAGTCCCTGAGGGAGGATTAGGCAAATGAAGCCGCTGACGTCACTTCTTCTTCTGGTTTGGGTTTACTGGCAGGCCTCAAACAACTTCACGCCGTATACTGCCACCCGTAGTCCCCGTGTAATGCTGTGACGATAAATTATTTGCCACCAGTAGAAGCTGCTGGGACTCCCAGCAGCTTCTACTGAAGCCTTCCGAGTAAACGGCCAGAACGCCGACACCTCCACCGCTCCCATGTTTTATTTTAGGTTGCCATAAGTTAGTCTCTCTGCGTTTTTGCGCTTGGCTAATGCTAATAATGCTAATGCAAGGATAATAAAATGGCGGCTTCACAAAACTTTTATGGAGTTTTACGAGGCGTGGTTTGCAATCCGCCCAGCCAAACAGAAATAGGAACCTTTTTCTCCCACGAAAGTCCCTGCTCTCTAGCAGGGTCAGAAAAAGGTTNCACAGACACACACTATCTCACACAGACACAGTCACACACACACACACACACACACACACACACACACACACACACACACACACACACACACACACACACACACACACACACACACACACACACGGCACACTCACAGATGTGTGGTCTAGTTGACACTTTAGAAAGGTCAGATATCAATAACAGTCTAAATGTGTAAACCTTTAATGTTGACAGAAGAAAGGGCTGCATGTGTGAACAACAAAATAACACTGCAGCTTTAAAAGGGGGGATTAGTTATTTGTTTTCTGTCCAACTTAAGACATCCTAATTAACCCCAGTTAGAAGTTCCCTCATGTAGAAGCATCAGGCAGTAAAACATGGCAGTAATATTCACGTTCTATTATAAACCACGGACCTAATAAGAGGGAAGACTTACATTTCATATAAACATAACATTTGGAAATCTATTGATTAAAACCATGGTATAATTTTTGTATCAAACAAATGTGTTCATCAATTTAATTACCTTCTTGGTTTCATCCTTAATATTTACGTTGAGCTGTGCAAGTTGCTTCTGTTTAGCTGATGATATGAGCTAGCTTTGCATAATCGCAACGCAATTAACCATAGTGCTGTTAAAGGTAACACTATAGAGTTGACTCCATTGCATAAACCTGAATTTGTCATATATTTGCATAAGTATGGATGTATTCCTTAAGTGGCATATGTCATAGAGTGAAAGGGGGATCATACCTTTGCTTTGTGTCTGGTTCCATATCCACTCACGACTAGACCATCTCTAACGTCCCTCTCAAGGTTTAAGAATTCATGAGCATAGGGCCTTTGTTTTTCATTTCAAGTTTGTAGACCTTTGTCTCTTTATGGGAGAGTTCATTAATAGATTTAGTTCTCAACCTGTTGGTTTATCTGCTACACATAAATCAGAGGATGAATGCATTTGAAACAAGCAAAACATAGTGCTAAATGTGTATAGCCCATGTTTTTCTGCCATGGTCACAGGATACCCAGCATTGACTATAAAGGGCTACCATCCAGTCTGTAAATAATTGAACGCCTTAGTGTGTGAGTGAGAGAGGCAGATAGACAGACACAGAGGGGGAGAAATTCCCTAGTTAAGCCATCAAAAATCAAGACACGGTCTAGTTGCTTTGCTTAATGAAGACAGTGTTAAAACATATACCATTTTGTTACAGGGAAACACATTAGGTGTTTAAGACCTTACATTAAAATGTCCGTTTTAATTGAAACGCTGTGTGTCGAAACCAACACCATGCCAGTGCTGATGTAGATCCACACCTATCAGAGTTAAGGACGTTACAGGCTTTCACTTGCACATAATGATGTTCCCTGTAACTGAAAATTCAACACTTGCAGTGTTACCAAGGAAGCATTTTCTGTGTAGATCCACCACAATGTTGGGTAGAAGCTACCTACAGACTACATTTTCCCAAATACCTGCCGTCACATAGTTGTAGGCTACCGACATTTGTAACCATTGTTATCATGTTCTGTTATTTAATACCAAAACCTCAACATATTTTAGAGATCCCTGCAAAAACCTACAAGGAAGTGAATAACAAAGAGTAGGCCTATCTACACAAAATATCTTCAATAGCCTATAGGCCTACATAATGTTAAGTAGCTAGTTTACATATCCTTGGTTAACCTAAATCCTTTATGCTTCAGAAAATCCCAATACCTACTTAGTGTTAGCTTGCACATTTACAGTAGCCTATATTATGAAGATAAGGAAAATGTATGTGCTTAAATGGCCCATTAGGTTTTACTTTTCGGAATCAAGAATTAGTAACGCTATCTTAAACACAAGTTAGGCCTATCTCAAAATGTCCAGTATTTCTACAAGGTTATCAAGCTGTAATTTACTTGTCACTTATTTATAGCTCAACATTTGCCTTCAAACAGTTTGATGACAACATGGTATGCTGCCAGTTTTTATTCTCCTCGTGGGTCTGTGTGGATCACTCTCTAATCCTCACTGTATTATTATCATGTTCTGGCCATTAACACACAGCATGTAGCCTACGACCATAAAGGCTGTGCAGCAGATAGAGGGTAGAGTGGCATTTTCCTGTCAGCAGTGCGCAGTGGCATAAAGTAATTACGTACATTTACTCAAGTACTGTACTTGAGTACAATTTTGAGAGACGTGTACTTTACTTGAGTATTTGAATGTTTTGCTACGTTGTACTTCTACCCCATTACAATCCAGAGGTAATCGTAATACTACATTTATTTAATAGCTTTAGTTACTTTTCAAATGTTGATTAATGATTTGAATTATATTCAACACACAAAATAAGATAGTAGAGTAAATTCACCAGCTACCTGCAGTAGTAATTTTAAAAAATGGTCAAATTTGCATAATACTTTTAGTTCTGGTACTTTAACTTTAAGTACACATTGATGCTAATACTTTTGTGTTTTTAATAACGTATACCTACACACAGTACAATATCTGAGTGCTTTTTCCACCACTGGCTGTGAGGGAGCTGCAAACACAAGCACGCACGCACACGCACACACACACACACACACACACACACACACACACACACACACACACACACACACACACACACACACACACACACACACACACACACACACGGTAGGCCTGTGTCCTCTATGAGCACTGATTGAACTGCGGGCGTTTCTATGGCTACATGAAGACCCAATGAGAAGCTCGCGGTAGACTGTTGCTGAATGAAAATAACAGAGGCCATTTTGCGCACGAAGCCACGGCATCATTCAATAATAATACAAGCGGAAACAGGAGGCAGGTTCAGTCCATTTCTGGGCAGGAGCGAGTGCTTTAAAGCAGTGCAGGACCGCGATGCGCCTGGCGCTTGTAGTAAAAAACAAGACATGCGGTAACTTCTGCCATCGCCGCTACGTTGCCTCTTCCTTGGAGGTTTGAGTCGTAAAACGTGGAGACAGAGCGACCTCTTCACCGCATTGCTATCCGAGCCCCGGTGACCCCCGAGAGGAGAGGGAGTTGCCTTCAGTGACCAACACCCGCAACATCCATGCGCGTCGAAAAACAGGTGTACGGTTTCATCACAAGGACACCGCACTAGCTTCCGCTGTAGCTCGCTGTGTTTGAGTGTGTGTACTTGAGTCATTACTCATGGAAGAAACTGCTTATCTGACGATATGTTGCGGATTTAGTCGAGTGAAGCAGCTGTCGTTTTAAGGTAGGTCCACACCATATCAGCAGTGTTGTTATCGGGCTAATATATCTCCCTCCTCGCCGCTTTGAGCAGCTGCAGCAGCGGATACTACCAGAGTTTTGTATGCTGTTTGAGGGGATATATATATTATTTATTTATTATATATTATTTTGAGTGTTTTAATGAGCGTTACAAGCTACAATGAAAATATAGATGTAATGGTTGAGACCCGGGCAAATGAATCAGCTCATCCGGGATGCGGTGTGGTCGCCTCTGTTTCCAGTACACTGCATACCAGTGGATTGCTCTTTCCAGTGCATTAAATGTAAATGCGGTGAAGCATGGGAGGATGTTAAATACTCAAGCTTTAAGCTTTAATCTTTAGAAACATTGTTTAACTGTAGTAGCAACACAGCCAGCATGAGACTTGCATGCTGCTTTGTAGCCATAAGCATGAAGTGAGATGCCATGTTTAACCTACATCCCAAATGCTTAAGGATAATCCCTATTGTTTGCTTGCACTTGTAGGCTACAGTGCAGTCCAGTATTGTATGTGGTGTACCGAATACAATCATTATTCAGTAATCCTAACTCGGTTTATATGCAGGTTTATCTTCACAATTTTGTACTAATTGGAAAAAAAAAGATTGAGATTATGCCCTGCAGAGTTATATACTTAAACTAACCCACCAATATGCTTGTTGCATTCACTTTTTTGAGAGTGCTTGGATGAAAACCAGTGAGCCTCTGACTCCAGACCTCCCGTGCATTTTCTATCATTTTAGATGACTTGCTGTGTTGTCATATCTTTTCCTAGATCTGACAGAAAGCAGTAAGGAATATTCATCCCCTGTGTTTCTCTGCGGCCTATTAACTGATATAAAGGGATGATGTAATGAGGAAAGAAAAAATGGCCAGCAGCACTGGATGGTATCTGTGAGTCCCATTTGAATGCTGCGTGAACATGGGGAGAGTGGTGAGGTGTCCATGATGCACGAAGTGTAACACTATCATACCGGGAACCTCATACCACTCCCAGTGAGGCCCACCGCGTGTGTGTGTGTGTTTTACTGGATGATATATTTGATGTAGTATTTGATGTATTTCTATGACTGCATACTTGTGTCTGGGGCAAGGTGCAATATGATGAGCAACAGTTGGCTGTTATCTGTCTCATGAGGGGCCAATAAAAAATAATAAACTGCCCCTCATGGAGGCTTAAATATACACACTTAATGGCCGTTCAAAGTGTTGTGACTTGATTGATGGCCAATGATCCACAATAGCTCTGTTAGCGTTAACTCGGTTGCACCTGCCAGTTTAGAGTTACTGATTGTGTGTGTGTGTGTGTGCGCGTGCGTGCGTGCGTGACTCCATCAGGGACTATGAGACTGATACATTTTCACTTGAAAGTACATAATGTAACGGGGTTACACTCATACATCACTCTATTTCTCCCTTATCTCTCTGAATCTCACACAATCATTTTGATATTCCTTTGCCAGTGTATTTCCTTGTTCTGGTGCCCTCTCTTTTTGTGTCTTCCCTGCCCTTCTCTCTGCCCTTCTTCAGAGGCTGATGTCATGGCTCAAGTGGTGTGAGAAAAGCTTGCCTAATTCTTAGTCTTACTGATAATAAGGGCTGCCTGCAGGACATGCTAGTTCCCTGAGCTGTCTCAATGACTTGAGTCAATGATTTGATAATGGTGAAGACTTCCGCCTAAGCTGCTCTGCTAGTTTCTTTTTTTTTTTAAATATATTAACTTGTTGAGATTGATGGATGTGTTCAGCTTAAGCCAATGTATAAGGTATGTCCCATTATTAAAGAAGCTGATAACATCACATGGTGGAGAAGATAAGCACTTCCCAAATGTTCTTTTTTTAAATGTATATTTATCTATAATCAGGTGCTGCTTCTGTCGACATTTTATATTAGCAAGAAACATGAACACATGGGGAAACACATCATGTGCCATACAATGTGTCCTGATTGTCACTGTGAAACAATGTGATTATCTGATGTGGGGAAAACATATGTTTAAGTGACAAAAACCGAAGAAGAGGGTACTGACGAAAGTGCATATTATCATAATCAAGTAAAGGGCTCATTCTGTTTTGTGCGCTGTTATTTAAAATGTGTCTTCATAAGAAAAATATTTCTACCAAGATCTCCTAACTTGGATCTAATGGAATATGCAATGAATATATCAAACAACTGTTTTTAACACTCATTTCTTACTATTGTGATATCTTACAACTTAAATGTATAATAATCCAAATTAACTAACTTTTAACATCCAGTGAATTTAATAGTAAGAACAAACACAAGTTTAAAAAAGTCTGTAAGCAGTCGAGGATTGAGCAATGCTTTAAAATAATTAGCAACTCAACACAGAGGTATTAGGGAGTCTATTCTGTTACCAGGAGGTGTTTGAAGACAACCTAGACCACACAGGTAGGTCAGATATAAACAAAAGCAGTCTGTTGATCTTTAAGTGATGTTTGCTGCCTGGAGCTTGTAGATAATGATTAATGGGGGAAAAAAACTGATTTTTAAAAAGTTAATCAGAGTTAATCATTTCTGTTCATTATAAACAAAACTACTGTTGTACCATTTTAAATATATAATGAGATAAAGTAACATGTGTCAATGAGTTTTGATAGTTTCCTTGAGAACTAATAACAGTATGAATTGTATAAAGTGCTCTGAAGAGATTGAGATTCTCGTCGTATGTAGCTTGTATTTCTCTGCATTTTGTGCTGTTCCAAATAAGCAAAATGCTGGTATCGTCTCTGCTGAACAATATATTTGTCGAGATATTTTCCTTTTTTGATCTGCTCCCAGGTTTAAGTGTTTTCCAGTAAGTGAAACTTACCAATGTGTACAAGAACAGCTCTTCTGCTTTTTATATCCTGCCACTTACTTAACTGGGAATGGCAGGGCCTTGCTGAAGCTGATAATGAATTAGGTGTTGAAACTGTACGGGCGAAACCATGTCGACGCGGCCACTGTAGTCCGGAGTGGCTCATAGGTCAAAGTGTCAGTCAGTGTATTTGAGTGTGAGAGTGTGTCAGTCGCTATAAAAATAGTTTGCGCTGGTACTTTAATGAGATCATTCCTAAGCTGTTGCCGTGTCATGTTGGTTTTAATTGTTTTTATAGGCCTCAATTATTTCCTTTACATGTGAAACCTGATGGGAGATGCTTATCAAAGTCACATAGTTTTCATGCATGAGGGATGTGACTCAGAACTGTCAAATCAGATCCATCAAACGTCAGAAACCATTGGGGATGTACGGTCAGATGCTGCTCGAGTGCTTGTCTGTCATCTCTTGTATAGTCTCATGTGGCTTAAAGGATAACATCTGTAGTAAATAGATAATAGCTATAATAGCGACATAAACTCAGGGGCTTCAGCCTTTTAAAATTGTATTGGTCTCCTGATACTTCCCTGATTCTGGTTATGTCATTAGCACTTGTCAGTTGTCAGCTTTTTAACATACCTCTATAATCCTTGGCACGTGATCAGAGAGTTCTGGGGGGGCAGCTGCTTTTTGATCATGTCTGCTGACACATCAATCACTGCAGTAGGCTGCGGATACACCAACATGTGTAGGGTGGGTGGTTGGTGGAGATACATTTTGGGGATTTGTACTTTGTCACTTTATCATTGGCACAAAGACAGCGGACACAGATTGTGTTCATCCTTGAAATATCAACCTAAGGCATCCATGTTTGATTAAAGAATGTGGCAATATATTTTGACCCAGCGTGTTCATGAGTTTACGGTTATACCAATTATAAATGTATAGGCTAGAGTACCTGCTTAGTAAATGACCCAGCTAATCTCATAGTTTTTTTTACACTGTTGCAAATGTGGCTGCCTCTTTAAGATGCAGACTGAAACAAGGTATTGATTATGTCATTTTCACAGCTGTTGACTAAGGAGGATGTTGTCCTTACATTGAAATTAGACAGGAGAAACTCATCATGTGGCAATATCAGCAAATCTTATAGTCAGACCTAGAATCACAGTTGTTTTTCTCGAAAAAATGTAGTTCCGACTCCAGTCTTATCAGCATAAGTGTTACTTATGAAGCCATGTTACCATACGTTAATGGGTTTCCTTTGTAGAGGATGCTGAACTCTACCTGAACCCTACTACAAAGTTGTTTATTAACGCTGATTTGTGTGCCTGTTATGTTGACTGTCAAGTATAGGTGTGAAGCGAAGAAGTGGAAGCAATCCAAATAGTGAGTTGCACAGTAGCTGCCTGGTTGGTTTTAGGTATCCAGGCTCTAAATGTGAGATGCTAATAGCAGTAGTTACATCACCATTCTGAGAATAGCAGGGAGTCTGGGGTCTAGAGGTGCCTCCGACTGACCTCTCTGCTGTGTATATTCAGCCTGTGTGTGTGTGTATGTGTGTGGTCATTCCCAAATATAAACTCCCATATGGATTGCACAGCAGTAAGATTATTAATGACACAGGTGAGTGGACACATAATTAGTCCGTTTATATTTACAGCCCGATGTGCCACCAACTGCTCATGGTTTATTAGGGATAAAAAGAGAAAGAGTCAGTGTGTCTGCTCCTGCGTGTGTGTGTGTGTGTGCATGTATATTTGCACATTCACGAGTGACAGTGAAAGAAAATCTCATGTGAGAACAATTTGACATTCCTGTCAGTTTCCGTGTGGAGTACACCACTTGACATAGCCCCACACCGACGACATTGGCTGCTGTGTGACATTAAAGCCCTGCAGGAGAGATGGGCGTGTGGAGGCTCTCTAATACCCCTCTCTGTCTTCTCACTCCCACTGCCATCCTAACCCCAGCTCACTTCACCATGCATACCATCAAGGTGTATATACATGATGCATTTTCAACCATTGATGTACAACGTGTGTGTGTGTGTGTGATAGCGTTGGTGTTTATACTGAATCTGTGTGTATGTACGGTTTGTCTTTGTGTTCTTATGTGCGTGCATACTGTGGTATGCAAACGTGTGCGTGTGGTAAAATAGAGATAGTCAACCCTGTCACTTAGCCCCCACCCATCTACACTGGGGGGGTAACTTTCCAGTCTCATAGACGAGCATGCCTGAGTCTGAAAATAGCCGTATCTGATCACTGCTTCACCCAAACGGGGAACTCTCTTCCCCGTCACTCCCACTCTTTGGCTCTCTAACTTTCTCCTCGTTCTGTTGTCTCTGTGCTTCCCAGGCATCAAACGGGGTAAGAGCTGGGAATACAGCTTGACCCGGGAGGAGAGACTTATCCTGAGTGGAGGGTAGAAGACGAAATAATATATCAGAGTACAAGAAGAGACAGAGGGAGGAAAAGCACTTTGGCTCACTTCTCACCTATACCTGACTCTTCATAGCAAGTCTCCAGTCTTTTGGTTTTATGACGGTAAGAGTTACATTTCCTCTGCTTGATGGACTGTTGCACCTGTACTCTGCTGGTTGAGAGGTCACTTTTGTAGGGTTATGTCACAAAACATACTCTGACCAAAGGGGTTCTATTTCATTGTTAAATAATGTGACTCTGCATTTTTATGCCAAGACACAGCTTTTCTTAATTTCAAGTGTTTTAGCTAGATGTTTAGCTAATTTAATATGTTAGTTTAATTTATATACATTTGTGCTTGAAAACTATTTAATGTCATGTTTCTGTACGCAGAAACTGATAATTTAGTGCTGTATACTCCTTCGTTTCTATGGTTATGTTATGAACGCATTGACTCTTTAAAGGGAATGCAAATTAAAGAGATCTGAATAGATTTTACAACCCATATGCCAAAAGAGAATTGTATATCTGTTCTGCCAGAACCCAAAATTATAGACCCAGAGAACAACTTTTGTCTTTTGTGACAGTGGACAGGGGAAATGGTGTCAAATAAAACCATGGTTGCGACCACGGTTACCTCAGAAATAGCAACAGCAAATTTAGATTACAGGACGGTGGATTGCAAAGTTTTATAGCCTACATCAACCCTGGAAGATGTTTTAGGCTTCAGGACAAGAACAAATGTTTATGAGAGTACAAGGTAAAATTAAATGTACAAACAACACAAATTACCCTGTTAAATGTCATCCTATAATTTCATATTTCGATGAACTTAATTTGGAGAAAAGTTTCCCTTCACCTTTTTACCTTCCCAGAATTTGGCCCGGTATCTCATTTTCTTCCCTCTGTCCCTTGTACATACTTCCATCTCTTGTTACACTCGTTTTCATGGTCTCTTCTTTCCCTCTCAACAAAAGCCATGCTCCAATCCCTCCATTAGACCGGTCTCAGAGGTGTTGTGGAATGCCACCTTGACCCCTTGGGTACACAGTAAGGGGTGGTTCCCAGCCTTGGTTCCTAGCACGGGTTCTTTTGGTTCCCTTTTTACCCTACCTGACACACAGGGAGGCACTCAGTCGGTTCCCTGTAAACATCCCAGAGAGCACAATTTTTATCATGTAAATGTGACATTATAAAATAAATGTGATTAGTTCTAGTGCCGCTGAAACTAAATGTATGCGAGAAAAACATTTTGATTTTACAGTGCCACAATATTATGTACAGAAATAGCTTTATTGCTTGACTCAACCTGGGTTGTAGGTCTTAGAAGTAGTTACTCTGTAGAGAACAAATGGAGACAGAATTTGACATTTATTTATTTATTGGACTATAGTCCATAATCTTTTGAAGTATTTGTTTTGTACACATCAGGGAGCTTACACAGGCTGTACATAAGTACTATTGTTTCTCTTTAGGGTCTTGATATCTTAAATTCCCTTGGTACTGTCATTCTGTTTGGTCCTTCTTATCCTCATCCCTTCCTGATACTGGATATCTGTTTACAACCCGATGTATAAAATGACAAAGACATTCAAAGGTTTCCTTAACAGAAAAACTGCAAACACAAAGCTCTTGAATTTCAGTTCTGAATTGAATTTTTATTTCTTGTCTGAAATTTAAAATACTTTCATAGATGCTTTGGTATTTATACAAATATGTGAAAATATGTTGTTGCTTAAACGTACTGGCACTAGCATTGCTTCCTAAAACGTTGAAGCTCTTACAGAGGAATGTGGCATTTGCTCCTTATTGCAATGTTCTTTAATGGCCATCCAGGGAAAGAGGCATTACAGAAGCCAATTCAATGATTGAAAAGTCTCATTGTTGGGACTTGATCTGTCATCTCTCTGACAAACTTCTTGTTGTCTATCCAGTTGAAGTGGCAAAATGTACCATCGCTCCTCAACCACCTGTTCAATTGTAGGAGTTGAACACGTAAAATGAGTATGTTTCCTCGTGCCATAAACCAGAATACATAAAGATTCCTCAGATGGTTATTCACGGTGATCTGGACCACCTTGGAGGGTAAAGGGTCCCGCCTAATGGCAGTAAATATAGCACTCCTGCTAATCAAGTTCCTCTTATCTTCATGCTCGACACTTAACACTGGTACCTGGGGAATCCAGACTATGTATGGGGAATGTAATCTTAGCCACGGCTGATTGCCATTCTCCTTTAGCGCACCCCTTGGGTCAAATAACAGACTATTTTCAAATGTTTGTTTATTATTGCCATCAGATTTAGTAAATTGTTATAAAATAATGCCATAAGTATATGGCCGCTGTTATTTTCTTGTCGAGGTGGAATGATCCTTAAGGTTTCTTTGCTGTTATGCTGTATTTTGCACAGAACTAATTTTCACACAATAATTATTAATATAAAGCCGCTTTTACCTCCCTCATTTTCTGGATAGCAATGTTTACTATCCCAGTGTCTGGAAAGGTTTATTTCTGCAACTCCAGAATGTCTCGTCTCTATTAGTCTTACAAAACATCAAGCAAGCATTTAAATGACCAGATAGTGGCACATTCAGTCAACATCTAGGGCCATGCATATGTAACGGATTGGATTAATTTCATATAATAATTATTCTGACTTATTGAAGTATCCAGTCATGCTAGAATTGCTTGGACTCTAGGGCAGTTACTGTAAATTGATATTTGTCGTAAAAATATGTTTAAAGGTATGAACCTGATTTGGAAAATGTAAAAGCCCACATGGTCAGTTTCATCTTCAGCGTTTATGCTCTGTTTTTATGACCTGTCAGTGGTACTCTTCAGTAGGTCCTCTACCCACTTGCATTAGGTGGTAGTTTCTGAATCAACCTATCATTGATTCCTGCTATTAAGAAGGGGAATTGTTTATAAAAATCATCGACGCAAAGTATTTTAGGAAATTATGATTTGTGTTGCTTTTATTTTGCCTGAGAGTACTATTTTGTGAGCATGAGAAAGTCTAACATGCAGTGGTTTAGAGGTCTGCAGTTGGTAACGTTACAGTTTAAATATCACGTCTTAAACCGAAAGTGTTTGAGATTCCGAGGTGACCCACAGCCGGTCTCCCTTCACTCAAACATTTGAAAAAGCTGAAGCCATAACTGAGGCCATAGCTATAACGCTAAGTCAAAATGTCCAGTCAGGAAAAGATCAAGCTTCATCTTTGAGATTGCTTTGGCAGTTGGCACCATATACACCACAGTTGACGCTCCATTTGCTGATCCTATAATTTCATTGTAACCCTTCCTATATTAACTTGTTCATGTGATTGTCTCAGTGTTTAGCTTAAGTTTCTGTAGTGTTCTTATCACTAGCCTTCTTTTGGTATAAAGCACGACATGTACAAGTCTTGCAGAGAAGGAGATAAAACATTGGCAGCTTTAGAGGTGTTATTTACTACGAAGCTGTGCCCGAAGACGGCTTCAGTCAGACAGCTTACATAAAACACATGCTAAAGTTGACTCCTTTCTGATTCAGCGCTGCGTTTGCTTCTTCAAACTAATTTATTTTGGTAATTTCTCATCCTCTGCAATCCATATCTGTTTTTTATTTGCCATGTTCTTATCAATTGTATCTCTTTTTTGTATCCTTCTCTTCCTATCATGAATATCGGAGCAGTATAAAGTAAATGCATCTTTAGCTGTATAGAAATGGTAAGATAACAAACCCCCAAATGGTCACATCCAGTTCTTTCTTCCTCCTCCACAGCCCGGCTCACAGTCCCGGGGCTTGTGTTGCATAATTGCATTAGTGCTCTCAGGCCGATGGCTCTGCTCGTTAGAGGGGTTGTGATGCAATGTGCTGAACACACGGGCCTCTGTTGTTGCAGTGAGTGGGCACGCAGGGTCAGCATATTGACCTCTCCTATCCATTCATACGGCCAGAGGGGGGGTCTGCTAATGAGAGGCAAGGTTGAACAAACAAGGCTGATAACAGAGACTTTGTTAGACGTGGTTGTTGTTCGACTAGTGGCAGTAATGTGGTGGTAAAACAGTTACATGGAGCAGATCAAATCTTTTTGAAAACTATGACTCAGCTTTTTGATTTAACGATTAGTTCTTAGCACAGCCGTATAATATGGATTTTTGGAGTACTTGTATTTCTAACTGGCTTGAAACTGTTTCCTAAACTGCTCAGTGCTCAGAGTAGTGGCTGATCTGAATAGAATACTGGCCATTATGTTAAAAACAACTATGTCCCCTTGGAAGTTTGCTGAAACAATTTCAACTCAAGCATTAGAATGCTAACTTTAACTTCTTAACATTATGCAAAACATTTCCAAAACAATTATCAAAAGTCTTTAGTGGACAGTTTTGGCAACCAGCGTATAAGCAGGATAATAATTCTGATGTGTGCAGTACAGCATTTTTACACTTCAGCTAAGAAGTTCCCTCAGCAAAGATGTTGATGCAAACCTCTGTGTTCTTCTTTATTAGACCTTTATGTGGACAACAAAGTCATGTCCGATTTAAAAATGTTGACTTACCGACTTCTCTAGGGTATGATATGGTGTGACTTTTAGGATGAGTCTTAAACAAAGCATACAGAAGTATATTGTTCAATGGTCCTCCAGTGCCTAGCTTGGACACAATATCAATCTTGACTCTATTTGAAGTTACCACAGCCTTGAAAAGAACAGCCTCATTATTTATTATCCTAATGTTTCCTCCAGATGAATAGGTCCACTGTACCATATAGCTACGCTCCAGTAGGTTGGTTGGCTGTTGAGCCAATATTGTTTTATATTCTTGTCTGAAAAGGCGGTTTGGGAATGGGACACAACCAGTGACACGTTGTGTTTGCAGTGGCTGATGTAACACTGTACTGCTACTGCTACAGCAATTTTTTCAGCATTTAGTAGCTTCAATTTACACATTATTAGCATCAAGACTGTAAGTGATGGTTTGTAATCCATACTTAAAATGAAGAAGAGCGAGAATGTACTGTACCTTTAGTTCACTGTTGAAATTAGAACACCTAAACCCACAGTATTACAGTCATCCTTCTATTGTATTGTGATATTACACCATTTCATTTTTTTTTACATTTTTCGCTTGTTTGGCTGAT